CCATGTTTTATGTACAAATATTTGATTAATGGATTTAGATTATTTGCTAGTAATTGAAGTTCATATGTACAGGGTTATCCGCTTTGAGGATTCGAAAATGAACGTAAAAAATGGATTTAAAATTTTTTTTTTTATGAAATTACTTTTTTATTACAAAGTCCGAACCTTGGCATTAGATGGGAAGCACTACATCATTTAAATGACGGCCTCGGGAATTTTCGACCACTTTTTGTCACATAATGGACGGCATCTCAGTCATATCTTGACGAATGCTGCTTTTCAAGTGCTCAAGGCCTAAAGGCTTATCCGCTTAAACACAGTCTTTTGCATAATTCCATCGCCAAGGCAAGGGTTTACGCGGCAAGGAAATGTACCCAGTCCTCGGCTACACTTTAACTTACAGTGGCGATATTTGAGTTGGCAAAACAAACCGATCCATTGTCTTCTAATTTCTAAAAAATTTTACCATTTCCTTGATTAGTTGGACGATTTGGATTTGGATGTGTACCATAATTTTCTCTTAATCCCTCTTTTTGTAGTAGATTTGAACAATTCGACATTTAAAACGATGCTTTTGCTTAAATGCCTGACTTTTCACAAAAACAAAGCAGCACACTTAATAGTTGTTGCTTAATAATGAATGGAATTATAGAACAATGCATTATATGACTGATGTTGGCGCAGTGGTGGAGCACTCGCCTGTTATGTCAGGATCCGTAGGTTCGATCACTGCCATAAGAAGTCTGATGAGGAAATATGATGATCTCCGAAACAGCTGTCACATCTACCATTTTTCTTTGTTGTATAACAAAATATTCAATTCATACACACAATCAGGCCTTTAGCTTACTTAATACTTATTTCAAAAATCAAAACATGTTTAGTTTGACAGTTAAGTTTGATAGATGTCAAAATACAGCCCTGTACTTTTGAAGCCACGAAATGGATAGCTCTGTACGTTACATATGTACATACAATACATACATATATGTGTTAGAGGATATAAATATTTAGTGAATAAATTAATATGAAAGTGGAGAATGCTATCCTTATGATTTTTTTTTTAAAACCTATTAACTAACGGTAACTTAATTGAGTTCGAATATGAGTTGTTCTGAGTGAAATTAAACACAGCAGAAACTCCAGTAAAGCTCCTTTTTGAGCAGCATAAATTGGTTTTCCACCTGGTCTACAAACATGATGCGGCATTTTCCCTAGAGGAAACAATTGAAAATATATTTAATGTGTGTTTTATTACTGAAAATCGTTTCGCAGTCATAAAGCGTCAATTGTGAGTTTAAAAGAATATGTTTATGGCTAAATTTCCATTTCGGAAATCTAAACGGCCCTGATTTCTAGCCCACAAAAGACCATTTTTGCCACATTTTCCTTAAATATTTCCTTAAAGGATGATAAAAAGTTACATAATTTGTATGGTGAGAAGGCCTTATAGAAGTTGGTTCGTCAAATTCAGTTCGGGAGATTTTTTGCTCAAAGATAAGCCACGGTCAGGTCAGCCAAGTGAAGTTGCTGATGACGATATCAAGGCTTCAATCGACTCGAATCGTCATGTAACTCCTACGATGTCTTGGACTGGCGAAAAAATTGATATTTGGTTACATATGAATTGATGATGAAAAAAATTTATTTAACAAGCCACTTCAACGCTTGTGCTATGCATCTTAAACGCAATGAATATGAACCGTTTCTGAAACAAATCATAGCTGGATATGAAAAATCGAATGTTTATGATAACGTCAATCGAAACCGATCTTGATCCAAGCCACAAACCACTTCGAAGGCTGATATTTACTTCAAGATGTGTTAAAAGCTGGTAATCACTTGGTGCCAGGTACGGACTATAAGATGGGTGCATTAGGACCTCCCATCTGAGCTCCTGTAGCTTCTGGCGCGTCACCAAAGGCGTGTCTGGCCTGGCGTTGTCCTGATGGAACACGATTCGGCATCTATTGATCAAAGATGGCCTCTTCTGGATGAGTGCTGCCTTCAAGCGGTCCATTTGTTGGCAGTAGAGGGCCGAATTGAGCGTTTGGCCATAGGGGAGCAGCTCGTAGTAGATAATTCCTTGCCAATCCCACGAAACATAACACAGCAAAACCTTCCTGGCCGTCAATCCGGTCTTGGCCACCGTCTGGGCCGCTTCTCCGAGCTTTGTCCACAACCGTTTGCCTCGATGTTGTCGTAAGTGATTTATTTTTCATCGGCAGACACAATCCTTTTCAGAAACGGGTCGATTTTGTTGCGATTCAGCAGCGTTTCGCAGATGGAAATTCGGCTCAAAATGTTTTTTCGCGTTAGTTCGTGTGGCACCCAAGCATCGATCTTCTTTTTGTATCCAAGGTTATGAAAACGGTGCCAAGCGATTTTCTGTCTAATCTTTAGTTCCTCAGCAGTTAAATAAGTGCCCACGTGACGCTCTGTCTCCACTATTTCCATTATTGTATCGCAGTTTTCAACGACAGGCCTCCCGACGCGTTGTGCATCTTTGACATCGAAATTATCGCATCGGAACCCAGCAAACCACTTTTGTGCTACACGTTCGTTTACAGCATCGATCGAAGAAAAATTGTAAAATTTTGCAAATTTTCTCATTGCTGGTGTCCATCTTTGACGAGCGCTCACAACGTATTGGTTTATTTCAATACATAAAGTTAAAATAATCAAGTTATTGCCATCAAACATAAAAGTGCAAGTAATTGGGGTTTCCCTCTTTTAATGCGAAGTTTAGCTGTCTTTTAAGTCACAAATTACTCACTATTTTCTTGTTAATCAAATTCCGTCTCATAATTGCTCACTGCGGAAATTTTGATATGGATTTTATACATTTGTATGAATATATATATGTATATATAATATTTATTTATAAGCACTTCGATTTTTTGTTGTTTTTGTATCATTAACGATTCACCTATATATTGGCTCTGGCAGTATGTTGATGGCATGCAAGTCAGGTGGCTTGACTATTTGGTATGCAATATGCGATTTGTTGCTCTATTCTGTAGGTCATAAGAAGATATACATATGTATGTATCTATGTTCATAAATATATAAATAGTAAATATATTATTAAATCAAAGTGAATATTTTGAAGGATTTAAAATAAGCATGATACTGTCTTGAGTAGTTTTGCCACTGCTGGATCTACGGAGCTACGCCTTATAAACAACGGTTATACCAAAATCCATTATAAATATATATAAATAGTACAGAGATTTTAGATGTAAGTTTTATAAAAAGAAGGCGACGGTAGTGCAATACTTTCTTGATATATGGTAAAGGCTGCTATGCTCCAAAATAAACCTGTAACGTACTTGCTTTCTCTCTTTAAGAACATATAGAGCGATTCACATTTGATGCGTACATCAATTAGACGAATCAACAATAGCGCACCATTAGTTCCTTCTCTTCGCTGTTCACCGCTAGTTAGAAATACCAAGTGAAGATCAAGGCGGTCTCACTACAAGCTGAAGGAACTCTATTTAGCTAATCTTAACTGGACCGCCCGGGAAACGCTTTCTACTTACCACCGTCCGAAGCGGATAGGGGCAGAGTCATCTTAGACTGTCTTTCAATCATCATCAATGCTCTTCCTGCGTACTGAATCCAATGTAGTAGCAGCTTATAGAAGTTAATAATATTTACGAATGAAAAAGAAAATAAAAGTTTTCGTACTGTAAACTCTCTTTCTAGCAGCTGAAAATATTATCAACTTGTATATACATATAAAATTGGCGCTTTGCAACCGCTGATGTGATTTTCGGCCGAGCTTCTCTTCTAATTTGTGGTTTTGTGGGCTGCTGTTTTTTCCAACAAATGGAAGGACCTACAGTTTATACTAAGCCGCCCCCGAAACGCTGATAGTTTCTTGTTTATGAGGAGCTTTTAGTTTATATCAGAAATACTCTCGGAGATGGCGAAATTCCCTGCCGAAGGGAGACCGCTATTAGAAAATTGAACTTAATTTTCTATAAATTTTTGATTTTTGGCTGAAAATATGGGAAAACCTCTTGAACTCTAGAATGCCATTAGTTGAATATTGATGATTTGCCGGTTACTTGTTTGCCTATACTCTTCTCACCGCTTTTTAATTGTAACGTTGTATTTCATAGGTATTCAGATAAAAATGAGTCTTAACAATAAAAATAAAGTAAAATCGGTAACACTTTTGATTACACGGGGTGCACACCATTGAAGTGGATTACACGATGTATAAAGGTGTTGGTGAACATAATAAGCACACACGAGGCATAATTTCAGGCGCAATATTTTTTTCTAATATTCAGATTATAAATAAGAGAAATTGATGAAATGTATAGGGTATACCCTGACATGGGGCAGAGAACGTCCACCCCTCCGAGTGTATTTCGGACATGAAATAAAGGCTCCTCGTAAGGAGGCGGCTTAATATAAACTGTAGGTCTCCCCATTTATTGAAAACACATCAAGACTCAAAAACCGCAAATTGAAGAATTAACTCGGCCAAACACAGCGTATATAATATAGAGTTCAGCGAATTATGCATCAATCAATATCACTCTTCCCAGCAGCTTCTATTTCGGACGGAGTTTTTTCTAATGCCTCAGAGCGGCTGATGGATCTTTTTTTGTCAGAAATGTGCTAGGAGCAGTTGACATCCCCGCCCAGATGTAACCGCAATTAGAAAAAGAATTTTTAAAATAAAATTTTCTACAAATTCTAGTCTTGGTCTGGTCAAGGCTGGATCCGGTGAACTGTCGCTTACGTACACACTGTTAACCAGTCGGGTAAAGACGACGCATTTCCCACATTTCATTTTATAAACAAGTATCAATCCAATGATGATAAATTCAATTAAGATTTTGCGAATTTGCAATTACACTTGTATTTATGAAACCGATATAAAAATCACATTTAAGTCAAAACACCTCACATATGTACATATTATATTTATGAGCTTGTATTCACTTTCTCCTCTTTTTTTACATTTCATTTTTTTTCAGGTTTATTGCACACTGCCAAGTCTCCGGCGCATTGCCAGCCACTTATGCAGCGGTTGTCTTCTGCAACCGTTTTAATGGCTGCCAAAACGAAATATGCAACAGCCAAGAACGTGAGCTGATAGCGAATCACATAAACAAATCTAAAAACTTATTGCAAATAGTGTTTAATAACGAAAATGAAAGACACAATGTTGGACGGTGTGAGGGAACCAAATACAATGTTAACGACATTCGATGCAACAGCGGCGTTGGCTGCAGCCAAGCCTGCTATTGAAGATAAAAATAAAAGTCCATATATTACAACAATTACAAACTCGTCGCCTTCAAAAGCAAAGACACTTTTTAGTTGGTTTCGAGGAGGTAACACAAAGTCAGATAGTAAACCTGACAACAACACAGCCACTTTGCCAAGTGAGCAAAATCAAATAGATAGTGGAAATAGTAGAGTTGAGAGGAAGGAAGTGCACTTAGGTAATCGCGACAAATCGTCTTCAACAGAAACACAGCCACCTGCCACTGAGCGAGACGTCACATTACGCGATTTTCCTGGTGTTCAGAGTTTGAGACACTTGTGGAATAAACGCATCAGCGCCAGCGAAGACGCCACACGCCGACAGGGCACACTCAAAGACAGCAAGGCGGGTAAATTAACAAAATCCATTGGTTGTTTAGTGCACGCAGCGAACGCGTCGCCAACCGACACACCCTTGAGTGCTGAAGAAGGTAGCCCGCTGCAACAGAAACGCGCGCATAGTCTACACGATTGCACGAACGTGGGCGTTTGCACTGAGGCGTCCCCAACTGCAGCTACCTTTGAGTCGGAGTTCGATTGCTTGCATCGTGAGAAGGATAATTTTTATAAATACAAGACGGCGGAACAGGCAGCAAAACATCTGACGCGGGAGGCGCGCATGCGTATCAGAAGTGCGCGTCGCGTCACTGCTGGCATTGTCAGCAGCCAGACGTGTGACGATGATGCACACTTTCCTGCAGTGAAGGCGAGTGACCGCGGCGAGCGTATACATTGGCTAAAAAGGCAAGACATGGTGACGAGACGACGTGACGGCGTAGAAATGGCTAGTGCCAAGAGTCGTATTGGCCATGAAACCGCTATAGCGCTATCAGCTGACGCAATTGTTATCAACGAAAATGCAAACAACGCCACTAAAGCAAAAACAACAACCATCATGCCAACAACACCGACGTCGTCTGCCCCCCAATATACTCACCTCAGTGATTATTCCGATAATGAAACGCTCACAGCTAGCAGCTCACCGCGCTATTCGGTCAGTCGTAAGCGAAACGCGAGTGAAGCAACAAATACGTCGGTGACGAAACGCAGTAGCAGTGATTCAAATAAATCGAATTCATTATCAACATCTAGTTCGATAAGAAGTGGCGCGCTTACGGGCGGGCGCAGCGCGCGACGTACCGCCTCCGGAGCGTCGGGCTCAGCATCCGCACGCAAATACAGTTTCAAAACACACGCGCGCACATATCACGCGCCACGCAAAATGAGTCAGCGCGATTCTACCACTGCTGGTAGTGGTAGTGGCGTCGGTGGAAGCGGTATTGTCAGTGCCTCCACCCTTGCGCCAGGAGGTGGCAATATAGTTGCCAAGCTAACTCAGCAATTTAACGAAATGATACAGAAAGATAAGAAGCTGCTGGAAGAGGTGAAACGCAATAACGGTGTGTTGATGTCGCGCGGCGGACACGTTTACAAAGTGCTACAAAACCCCGACGCTGCAGGTGAGGCGGATAAGCGGTCGGCAGCGAGCCTTAGCCGGTACGGTACGCGCGGCTCGACGGTGCAACGAAATATTATGAAGTTCGAATGTGGCGCCGATGCCGCTAAGCCTGCTGTGCCAGCAAAAAGTGCGCAAGTCCTGCAAAAGCTACGCGAACTCAACAAAACACAAAAATATAGCCTAACTAACGGCGGTACAGTTGGTGGCGTAAGCAAAAATCTTAAATTGCACATCACACCGTCAACGCACCACGACCTGCAGTCGAAGCTTGATTTAAAGAAGGCGCAAATGTCACTGCCGCTCTCGCCGCCATTGGAGGTCGTAACCGAAGAGTCGAAAACACCGCTGGAAGCATATGAGAAATCGATCGCTATCAGCGCGCAAGTGGAAGCACCACGAGTGGACGTGCCGAGCGCGCATAACGAGGAAAGCACGTACGGACAACACACTAACGACAGTAACAGTAACAACGGCATTGTTGACAACACAAAAACATTTAATGAATTTGAACTGAAAACAACAGATGATCTAAAGCGAAGTGCGAACCGTACAACTGCCATTAATGAGGGCTTCAATAGCGGCTCTGTGCCAACGCCGCTCACAACTAACTGTGCCGATGCGCGAGGCGATAAGAAAAGTTCTGAGACGCAAATAAAGAACGAAAATGGAGTAGCGACTGACGTGAAAAGCAATGCAATAATTTGCATTGAGTCGTTCCAACTGCCGGCCGAGCCATTAAATGTCGAAGTGATTGAAGCCCCAACGAGGGCCACCACAAATGCGGAGCGCAGCATTCCCACGGCTATGTTGACATTGGACGTTGCTCATAACGTTGAGAACTGTAAAAATGTGACTGCCACAATTGCGAAAGCAACAACAACAACAACAGTAAAGGCGGAGACAACACAAAGTCCAATTGGCGAGCGAGCCAGTGACGATCAGCTCGATGCCGTTAACGATGAGAAGGCGAAGCAGCGCAAGCACAAATATGCAAAAATTTATGAAAAGTTCCGTTTTAGGTCACCATTCGTTGGAGGTCACAACAATAAGAAATTGTCACCGAAGCCACCGACCACGGGAGTTGGGATGTGTGATGAAATGATAAGGCGGCCAGAGAGTGAGCACGTAGACGCTGCGGCAGCGAATATAAAACCAACAAAAACAAAAAGTTCAACGCCTACACCACCAGCAACGCCAATATTGAAAAACATTTCACCAGTTACTGATGAGATCAACGAAGTTAACGGTACTTTAGACACCACTCACGCTGCCATTGCAACACTTGAACCCGCATCAAAGTTGCTCGACGCGCTGGAAATAATCGATAACAAATTGAAAGATCTCGCCGTGGACGACGTTGTAAATGACATCAATACCAAAGCGCTTCTACTCTCGCCAGATGATGACTTTGAGCAGCGCGTGCTACCGAACAACTCGTTTATCTTTCAAGCGAGCACCAAACAAGTGGCCAACAATAAGCTAATTGTCGCGCAAGCCGTGAATATCTCACTGGTGAATAGTATACAGGGCGAACAGCTTATAATGGAACAAAAGGAGCTGCAGCGGCAGCAAATCGACTATAGCGAACTGATGCGGCCACCCAGCATGAAAATGGAGCAACCATTTTTGGTGGAAATCGTAAGTGGTAAGGCAGCAGCGCCTGTAGAGCCAATGTACGAACCAATTGCTGCACAGACTGAAATAACAAAGACTGAAGGCGATTCAACAACAGAAGCAACAACTGCGCTCCAAATACCACCAAAGTCTTTTCTCTACAATAGTTTGGCAATGAACAGTGATACAAAGAAGTCGGAAACTAGTAAAGCACTAGAAGGCCTACCCGAAACCACTGAATCAACAACAGAGCTCTTCGAGGACATCTATCAAACTGTGGATGAGGCCAAGGCGACAGCTGCAGCCGCTTTGGCTGAAGCGACAAATGCGGCACTTTTAGCTGACTACGAATCCATAGCTGGCTCCTGCGAGCACACAACACCCGCCACACTCACTGCCAGCCAGAATGTGAGCAAACCCTTGTACGATGGTTATGAGATATGTGAGCCACCGCCCGATATACCACCTGCGTTACCAACTGCCACGGTACCAACTGCGGAAGGTACCGGTGTTAAATTGATGCAACAGATCTCAGCAGGTGGCGGTAACGTACGCAACACTAACGATGAACTGCCAGAATTACCCAAGCCAAAGCGTCGTCTGCCCAAGTCGCCTATGCCAGGCAAACGCTCGCCGAAGGCAGCAACAAAGAATACAGCTGAGCTTCGTGAGCATAACAAAATCGCGTCCAATAGATCAGACAGCAACAAAAGTGGTAGTAATAGCACCATCACTGCCACGGATTTACAGGATGATGAGCATCATTATTATGCTGACGATGAGAATATCTATGATACCATAAAGGGCTCGCATTGCTACGAATCCGTGCATGCCGCTAGCCATGTGACGCATAGGTCCAGCAACGCGGCGTCGAAATGTGTTAGTGACAGTATTTCACTCTCTTCCAATTGCTACGAGAGCATCTCACATTATCGACGCGTTAGTAACGGCACCGTAGTGGTAGGCCACTTGACGGGTAGTAGCAGCGGTTCAACGCTCACTATTTCATCCGATCACAAAACGAATAGCTTATACGAAATGTCGGTGACGACGGCCAGTATGATCTACGGCAACGGCAGTCTGGGCTCGTATGGACAGTCGTCGGGCGCTGAAAAGTCAAGTGCAAGCGTTGCCGGCCGCATTGGGGCGACCAAGCCAAATGCTGGTGATGAGAATAGCGATGGTGTTGCTGGCGCGAAGACCTACAGTCAATCACATTGTGGTGCGACAAGTGATAACAGTGATGAATGGGTGGATATATCGGATCCAGAAGCGGAGGGTACAGAGCAATTTGTGAAACCGCAATTTATTGTGTAAGTGTTTAAAGTTTTTTTTTTTAATTTTCTTAAATTTATTTAAATTTTTTAATTTCTTCTTTTCGATTACGGACTTTAATACAAAATTTTTCGTTGATTGATTTTTTGTAAATCCATATTAATGAAAAAAAAAAAAAAAATTTAAAAAGACAAACAAAATTTAATTAACCAATCACAATATTTGTTGTGAACAATTATAATTTTATCTTATCGTATTTTATCTTATCTTTGTGCATTGTTTACGTTTATGGCGCACATGGCATGAAAACAACCGTTACCGAGTACCGAGAGTGCAGTGAACATGCGATGGACTTTATTTCGGTTGTTTGTACTACAGAAAGCTGAAATACACAATATAAATATAGTACCTATATAATACATATACATGAATAATAATAATATTTATATGTATATGTATATATATCATATTTGGCGCATAATAACCGCTGCACAGTGGGCGATTTGATGATTTAGCGTAACAAATTTTGAACTGCTAAAATCTAGTCAAATTTGATTTGGTCCCGACTCATAAATATTCTATTCTTAACTCGATAAAGTGAAAATAGTTAAAGTCAGGACCTAATTAGCTAGTACCACGTGTTTTCTAAAACTGACACGTATACTTTTATCGTTTTTGAATTGGTATAATAATTTTTTAAATTATAGTATTCCACCGAAATGTTTTTGGTTTTTCTACAAGATTTAGGTTTGTGTTTAGACGGTCTGTTTTAGAGGCTTAAAAAAATCTTTGTTTTCTTAAAGCTATTCCAAAACTCTGTAAGAATACGTCTACAAAATCTCATTGGTCATTTCGACATATTTTAGAAGCTAGACCCCTTTTAGTAGCCGAGACTTTAGCCGAGCGTCATGTCGGTGCCGGTGATCGAATAAATTCAAAGTGATCTAGTTCCAGTGTTAAATTTTCTTCTATTTGAACTAAAAATGTTGGATAAAAGTATTGTTTAAACAATTTTTTTTTTCAACTTGAAGTGAAATTTTTTTTTTCAAAACTTCGAAAAAATTCGAAACTCACCAACTTCTTCGGTTCATATAGAAGAGGCACGCAAAATAATTGAAAGAAATAAATAAAAATTGGTTGGACTGTTTCAAATTGATCGTACTACCTCCATCACCGGCACCGTTTCAGGGGTTCAGACTGCAGCTGTTTTAGAAAACTCATTACAACATTTGGAAAATTCCAATATTTTTTTTTAACTAAAAATTGCCATTTGAAGCTTAAATATAGTACATATATTATTGTCTGAAAATTTTATTTACCGCAATAATTTCCATCGCTTTCAAAAAAAATTGTTGAAAAAACGCAGTTTTTTTCGCATGTGAAGCCCGGCCAACCATCGGCATCCACGGCAAAGCCGAATATCCATGGTGCCAAGGTTATTCTATGTATTTGGTGGGACCACAAGGGTATGCTCTATTATTTGCCATTTACATCGGGTCAGACGATCAATGGGGACCGCTACCGAAAACAATTGATTCGTTTGAAAAAGGTCATCCCGGAAAAACGACCAGAATATGCGGCCAGACATGAATCAATAATTTTTGATCAAGACAACGCTCGGCCACATGTTGCAATGCCAGTTAAAAACTATTTGGAAAACTGTGGGTGGGAAGTTCGACCTCACACGCCTTATAGCACAGACATAGCACCTTTTTCAGATCAATGCAGAAACTCACTTCAAAACAGGCTATCAAAAATTGACTCGATTCTTTCTTGACCTCCAAGCCGGAGAAGTTCGTTTGAGATGGGATCCACAAACTGTCAGGAAGATGGTCAAACATCGTAGCTTCCGATGGGCAATAATTTGAACATTAAATGTATAACAATGTTTTCACAATAAAGTCTTAATTTTCGAAAAAAACCGCAAAAAAACTCACAAGAACTCATGCAAAAATACAGTGGAGCATCTGATGAATTCATTGTTAATCTCTTCGAATCCATTGATAACAAGTTTGTGCAGAAGTTCATTACGGAGAGTCTGAAAACATCGATTCAGACAAAAAAAATTAATTCCAAATAATAGTTTTTTTTCTCAATTTATTAGCTCAAATGAAGCAGAAAAAAAGAAAGTTGTAATAAAAGAAAAGGAAAATATACTGTTTTTAAATCTAAAAAAATGTTATCAGTTGGTATTTTGTGTACCATTAAAATGATCAAATCGTTTAATTCCTGCTCCTGTTCTACAAGTAATAAATTTTGTTACGCTAAATCAATCAAATCGTCCACTGTGCGCTGAAGTGATTTTCGGCCGAGCTCCTCCTCTGATTTGGGGTTTTGCGTCTTGATGTTTTTTTTTTAACTAATGGAGGGTCCTACAGTTCATACTAAGCCGCCTCTGAACGACTGATGGATTTCATGAAGAGCTTTTATTCCATGTCAGAAGTACACCCAGATGGCTTGAAATTCCCTGTCAGGGAGGATCGACCGCAGTTTTCTATAAATTTGAACCAGGACTCGCACACTGAAATTCCGAATGGCAGTATGCTATGCCAACCACTCGGCTATAGCGGCCGTTTTCTCTGCATTTCTCGTTGCATTTTTTCGAAAATTCTATTATTTAGTTACATTTAATCGCTAGCTGATAAGGCTTTGCTATGAAATCAAGTAGTGCCTTGTAGGTACATACTTAACGCTGTTGTGTATGTGGTGGAATATATGTGTATGTATGTGTGTAATAAATAGTGCAAGGTTACATTCTGATACCATCTAATCAATCTTATGAAATGGGAATTGGGCTTGCCTAGGCGTATAAGTGTACTTTTTGATAAAGATAATTTGATTAGCCAAGCAGAAGAGCTTGTATGATACTACCATATGATTGGTGAAAGATTTAAATACACTCCTCAATGTCAGCTACAACAACAACGCTCCATAGTTAGTTAGAAAAAACTTCGTCCCGAAAGACTCTACCCATTAATTGGCAACTCAGGGGAATGTAGCACCTGTTGGCAAGAGTGGTTCAGTGTTGAATTTCGTGGCTGACATTGTTGGTGGTATTAATAGTGGATACAGAATAGACGAAATTATCTATATATATAATTGGTTGAAGCGATTTTCGGCCGAGCTCCTCCTCCTATTTGTGGTTTTGTGGGCTCCTGTTTTTTCCAACAAATGGAGGGACCTACAGCTTATAACAAGCCGTCTTCGAACGGCTGACTTGAAATTATAAATGTTAATGGTGCATGGGAGGCAAGATGCGAATATGCGGACTATTCGATGACAGGAGATATTTCTTGTTGTCCACCACTAGACCCATTCGCTTCGCTTCTTGCTGATATGAAAACCTAATTTACATTTGCGGTAGGGTCAGTCAACCAGTTAGGCACTAACACTTTCCCGATTGTCATCAAAAAGGAGAGTCCCAATCCTATGCACAACCGCATAGATTACACGTATGCTTACTCACTTTAGGCTCGTCTCCAAACGTATATTTAGCCTGAGACCGGAAGTTTTCGGCTAACCAAAATATTAAATATAATTCCACGTTCTCATTTACATTTATTTACTATCTGCCTTCATAGCTACCCGTAATTCCTGGTGAAATATGAAACCAAGTCATGAATATTAAAACTTATCAAACTTGGTTAAATTTTCAAATTTCGGGTTTTCTTTCTGTATATTTATGCACTCTTTATTCAATCAAAATCGATTTCCACTTTAAATATAAATTAGTTGATTGTAATTTAAACCAAAACACATTAAGTATAACTTTTGTAATTCACTTTCGCTATTTCACTCTACGGCTAATTAAGTCAATGAACCCTTAATATTTTTACTATCTTGAGAACTGCAATTCATGCTGCAGACATACATAAGTATTACATGCAGATCACAACATCCCATGAATAGACAACTCTTTTGTAAGAAGGTTCATAAGCAAAATGCTCAATTAGCAACACAAACAATTAAGCAGTGCCCTCAATTACATTACATTACGCGAAAGAAATGAAGAAACAAAAATAAAAAGTCTGCTCGAGAAGAAGCAAGTCATTGAATACAGTTGAAAGGCTTCTTTCTTTTGTAAGCCGTCAAATGCAAAGAGACAGTATTCTTTGTACTCTTGCTTCGCAAACATTCATACGGACAAATATGTCTGTTAAGTATTTGGAATGAAAAAATCAAAAAAGACCAACACGATTCTATTATCGCCGAAAATCAACTAAATGAAAAAGTCAACGTAATAAAAAAAAATTGTATAAAATAAATATAGAGCGCCGACCGTCGGCAAACTATTTGGGCCTTCTCGGTGTGGCTTTCGGCCTGGCAAATCCACCATTGACCAACACTTCACCATTCGAAAAATTTTGGAAAATACCCATGAAAAGATGATCGACACAAAACACCTCTTCGTCGTTTTTGAAAGCTTTCTGCTTTCTCTAGAACAGAAATTCCAGCTCAGAGATCCAATTTGCGTTCACTTGTTGCAGCAATGCGGGCCGTTTATCAGCAATATTGAGCCGAATATTCTCTTACAAGACGTCAATCATATTGCGCTTAACTGTGCAGACAAGCGACTTCTCATAACACCACAAAAAATAATCCAGCGGAGTTAAATCGTATGATCTTGGAGGTCTCACCACAAACTCGACGGTAGAAAATGGGTTTACCAAAAGTTTCTTCAACAAATTGATTATTTCGTTGATTGTATGGCATTTAGCGCCGTCTTGTTTGGAGCTAAAGGTCGTCCACATCAACATTCTCCAATTCAGGCACAACAAAGTTATTAATCTTGGCTCTATAGCGTTCCCTGTTCACTGTGACATTCCAACCGGCTTCAGTTTTGAAGAAATATGGAAAGAAGATTCCTTCAGCGAGAATAAATATTATGGCGTCTTAATAACGTCTTGTGAATTATTATCACTCCAAATGCGACAGTATTATTTATTAACGTATCCATTCAACCCGAAGTACTTTTCATAGCTGAACAAAATTATCTTGTGAAAATCGGCATCTGTGGCCATATTGTTTTTGGTCCATTCACCGAATCTGAGAGGCGCTTGATGGTGTTTCGGCTTGAATTCTTACACGTGTTACATGCTGTAAGCCAGCAAAAAGAAAACTTTCAACAAAATCTTCCATAAAGTGAATGGGCGGAACTGGAAATGCTGCACGCCTTGCGTGACGGACTCATTCGGGTCTATTCAGTTCTACGGTTCGGTTACTCGAATTACCGACAGGGTCAGACTGTTCATTAAAAAATGCCAAACCAAGCTGAGTGTAAATCAAGTAACGGCTGACGGAAATACCAATTCCTAAAAAAATAACTATTATATAATATATGAAGCGATTTTCGGTTGAGCTCCTCCTTCAATTTGTGGTTTTGTGGGCGGCTGTTTTTTCAACAACACAACAAATGGAAGGACCTACAGTTTATAGCAAGCCGCCTCCTAACGACCGATGGGTTTTTATGAGAAGACTTTATTTCATGGCAGAAATACACTAGTAGAGGTTGACAATCCCTGCCTGAGCCTGGTTCATCCGAATGGCAGTATGCAATGCTAAATGGCTACCGCGGCCTCCTAAAAGCTATTGCTTCATTGAAAACGGGCTGTCTAAAAAAATACCGTTGATGTTGATTCTCTCGCAATTCAACCTCGTCATCTAAAGTATAGCCTGCTTTTTGACAAGCGCCAATTGCATATTACAGACCCATCGTTTTTTTTTCCACTTTACCCCAATGACCTAAAAACAAAATTTTTTTCATGATGATAAGAAACGCATTTGCTGTATTTGTAACGCAATATATGTGCATTGGTTGTAAGAGTTTAGCTGAGTACATATGTATGTATATCTATATCGATAAAGACATGTATACTCACATAAATATATTTCCAATTTTTCGACATTCTTGTGTTGTCACATTTGTCACTTGTAAATACAGACAATTGCGTCGGGTCTGGTGTTAACACCCCTGTTGTATATATATATCTACATATGTATATGTATACTTGTTATTGTAGAAAGCAAAATGATTGATGGCTGTAATTGGAAATTTCATTATGAGTGCATTTTCTGATAACAAAATTGTGCCATATTATTTTGAAACAAATATAATGTAATATTTTTATTATTCTTAATGCCATTCACACATACACAGTATTTTATCATATACTCAAACGTAAGTGTGTATGGTATATAGATTTACTTAATATCGGAGATCGAATTCGAAATATTATTTTTCATTTTGCTTCAAAATCTGTTTACGGTAATCATAAAAAAATATTAAAATTAAATTTAAAGCATAAATTCTTTTTCCATTAAATATTGTAGAAACGTGTTAAGTGTTAAATATAAAATTATTATTTTTTTTTAATAGAGACATCACAATTTAGTTAGAAGACAGTTTGTTCTTTGAAATGTTTTAACATATTTTAGTCCTTTCTCGGAATTGAGTTGTGTTTGAATATTTAAATCTGTTTTCTTTTTACAGATTTTCCCGCGCCGTCTTCAAGGCTGGTTAGTTTGTTGATTGAAAGATTAAGTTTTAAACCAGGCAATGAACGGTCGCCCCACTTGCCAGAGAATAAAGTTCAATGTATACCTCAACGTATCACAACCATTTCGTTGATCATCAGTACATCAAGTACTGTTTTATTTCTGACGTACGTACCCATTTCCGAAAGGCAGAAGCTTGTCGAAACGCGGAATATATGCTGGACTGACGGCAGCGCACTCGCTAAGTTGGCGCTACAGCGCTGTTCTAAGCCAATTCAATCTCTCTTATTTTCTCAGGGATAGATGTACACTGTCATTCGCAAGGCCAGGGGTGTTTTTAATTGCGGTTGTCGCTCGGTAGGGATTGTCAAAACCTCTGTGTGTATATCTGACTCGAAAAATCCATCGAACGTTCGGTGTTGACTTAGAATAAATTGTAGATCCCTGCATTTGTTGAGAAAATATTAATACACATACTATGAATTGGAGTAGGGGCTCGGACGAAAATCGCTTTGGTGATTACAAAGCGCGAATTTTATATATGATGCTCCGTCAGCTCCTCGAACTCACCCTCTCTCTCTCTTAACCATATTTAACTATATATATAATCGGGAAGAACCTCTCCGAGCCGTTCGATACGAGGTTTCAGAAAGGGTGATACTTTCTCGTGTGACTTCTTTAATTTATTGTTGGAGAAAATAATAAGATCCGAAGAGCTGAATAGAGAAGATACAATCTTCTATAAGACTTTACAGCTGCTGCCGGACAACAATTATATCGACATTACGAGTATGTTGGAAATGTAACAATCATTCAAGTATTGCTATATTGCAATAGAGTCCACTGACACAGCCTTGCTAGCGACGATAGATTGCTCATCTTTATTTTAACTGCATCTACATCCCCTTTACCCGAATCACAAGTGAATTTCACTTCATCTAGTGCTCTGAACAGCAGAACACAGATCCTGGTCCAAGAGAATATCTATATAAGGCTGGACAGAACCCGAGAAGGTGTTCCAATGTCTCACTTAACTTTGCCTCCTTACATTTCTTGCATTTTGTGCCACTGCTACTAATCAGTCCAGTTCTTACCAATAGGTTGTGACCTGCTATTAAGCTAAAAGCTGTCCGGCAGTCTATACGATAAAAGGCGTTTTTAAAAATTGCGTGTGTTTTACTTCTCACAATAACTTGAAAGTCTGGCATGCTGTTAAGCTATTTCATCTAACCCTGATTCGTCTTCCAGCTTTCCCCGAAATTTCATTATATAGAGTCTTCAGCGACTTTCATATTTCATGTACTGGTTCGGTAGCCAGTTGGGTAAAGACTTTTTGCAATCTCATTAAGTATATCGTTGCTCCTAATGCCGCAACCAAGCTTCCCTGCAGCAACTATGTCCACTACTTCTCTCTCTCTCTCTCTCTCTAAGGAGATTTTATGACGTTATATCATATGAGGTTAATGCCTTCCAGTTGCAACGTAAATTTTCATGTTTTCCAAGTAGTTTCCTATGCTAAGAAAAAGCTTAGCAGCCTGCTTACCGTTAAGACGTCCGTCAGGAGCAAAATAACGCATGAAGGGTAGTTTGAGATCTAATTAGTTTACCACAACAGATTCCGTTGTCATTTTCGATCTGTCCGTGTAGATGTTGTAACTCTCGTTGGTATGGCGTATGCTCTTGCCGCCCCAGCTATGTTGGGAAGGATTTCCAGTCAAAGCTCCTCGTCCAAATTGGCCATATGTCCTGATGTTTTTCCGTCCCTGAACGGCTGATAGATACTTCTGCTAAGTGATTCTCTCGAAATTGTACTTCGATTGCGTACATTTAGAAGATACGATGTGGTTCGAAAAAAGTCCTTCTGTTTATTGGAATTTTTTAAAAACGAATAGACTATGTTTTTCTGATTTGAATGAATATTGTGTTAGCTCAGCGTTTTGTATACACAAATACATTTATATATGTTTTGCATAGATATACATATGTATGCATTTATTTTTATGTAAGGATTTTTATTACTTTCCCTGTTTTCTATATTTCCTATTTACAGCGTACGTGAACGCTCCAAAGTGCACCGCAGTCCCGATTGGTCAAAACGTGTGAGAGATAAAAGATTGCATCAGAAGAAAGCCATTAGTTGCATTGAGGGTGAGTTAATTTTATGTGATTTTTATGTTATTTTCTATTAAAACAATTATTATTACATAAAGAAAATGTGGAACGAATCATTGAAGGTGCTCTTAGGCTGATTCAAATATAATACTGAAATTCGTGAATATACGAAAGCTATAGAAATTCAACCAATTTTGAATTCGTGTATAAAGAATTCGATCATTTTTAGGCATAAAATTAATATTTATTTAATTTCATTGCCGTTGTATTCGGTGAGTATTAATTTCTGAGTTTTACATTAAGACGCCTCCGAACGGTTGATGGTTTTTCTACGAGGAGCCTTTCTTTCATGTCCGCAATACAGTCGGAGGGGTGGACATTCCCTGCCGAGAGGCGGCCGCATTTAGAAAATTTAATTTAATTTTTTTATTCGAATTAATTTTTCATAACTCTTGGATGTCAGTGACACTGAGATATGAAATCCGAGCCTTCCAAATGTCAGTATGCAACGCCAACCACTCAGCTACTATGAACATGTCGCCGTATATCTCATACAGCTCATTATTCCATCGGCTGCGGTATTCGCTGTTCCCAACTCGTAGAGGATCATAAATCTTACACAAAACCTTTCTCTCGAAAACTTTTCGTACCCACACATCTCATCATTCATGCCTCCAAACCATATAGCAGAACGGCAACGACTTATTGAGTTTGGTCTTTGTTCAAAGTAGCACCTGTTCTAAATATATTCTGCGTTGGATTTCCAGGCTGACATTGTGAGGGTGTTAATGTTGGTTACAAGATAGACGCAGTTATCTACGACTTCAAAGTTATGACGGTCAATAGTAACATGGGAGCCAAGTAGCGAATGCCATGACTGTTTGCTTGATGACAGGAGATATTTCATCTTGTCCTTGTTCACTGCCAGACCCATATACTTTGCTTCTTTACTTAATCTAGAGAAAGCAAAACTCACGGCAAGGTTGTTGAGCCCAAATACGTCAATATCATCGACGTGGGCCAGCAGTTGTCTAGTCTTATAGAAGATTATACCTTCTCTATTCAGCCCGTATTATCTTCTCCAACGAAAAACTAAAGAAGTCAACTCGTTTGAAACCCTTTTGGTATTGAACGGCTCGGGGAGGCCCTTCCCGATCATAATGCAGCTTTTGGCGTTTCTTAATACCAGTTTACCAAATTCAGACAGAGCGGCGTAGAGGCAGTTGCTTTCCGTGCTGTCGAAGGCTGCTTGAAAATCGACCAAGAGGTGGTGTGTGGCCATGCTCTTTTCACATATTTGGTGCATGTTGAACATCACTCACTTTAACAGGTCTAAATTCACACTGATAAGGTTCTTTCAGATTGTTGATGGGCATGCTTATTACATAGCTTACTTGCAGAATATGGTTGGACGAAAGCATATCCGATGGTTAGAACTTAAGTGTGCTCTGGTCGGTCCCCGTTGCTTTGTTGTTTTTCAAGCGGCACAGTCGGGTAAAGAAATGTTTATTCCATAGTCATCGATTGGGGAATCGATGTTACACTTTCACAGCCATTCAGCAGGCTGAAAAAATGTACCCTCCATAAATTCAGTATACTCTGGTCATTAGTTTCTAGATATCTAATTATTGTTATAATATTGTAAATTAATTCCTTTCACTTATCAAAAGTTTTCTTATTTTTTGTAATAAATCTTAGTACTGTCCGGTCTTTAGGCGGTTTCATTTCAGTGGCAGTCTTACCCTATACCAGTCAGGTTTGATCACTAAGTGCTTATCGATCGTTGAGGAATATTTTTTTTGTGTTTGCTGGGTGCGTTAAGCTGTCAAACATATGTTAAAAGCTCTCTTTCAACATTATCAAGCACAAGGAGCTTTTTAACAGTGATAAAGTTTAATTCCTACAGCAGCTTAAAGCTTTTACTGAAAAACCGAGCTTAGCGATAACGATGGCATTTTAATTCGATCTGGTTTATACTTCAAAGCACGAATTCGTAGGCAATAACTCACACAGAACATAAATGGTAACAGCTTTTGTTATTTTTTATTTTTGGGTATTCAGGGCGTTGCGATTACAACATAATTGTGTACGGGGAAGGGGAAGTTAGTGTAGAAAACGAAAAAGGCGAAAGCAATAAACTTTTGAAGACATACATACAGGCATAGATTAATATGCAAATATGTATATATCTACCTAAAATTAACAAAAAAGAGTGTTAAAATGTAAATTTATTTGTTTGCTATTTTATTTTAGTTTTTTACCCAAATTTTCTTCCTACTGCGAACATGAAAACCGTAACGCACGTGAGCAATGAAAGTGAGTTGGTAATTGTTTGTAATAACAACAGAAAACACGCCCTTTTAATTGTGAATTAACCGCTGAAGAACGACGAAAACTCGATTTTCTAAAGCTCTTTCGGAACACGTTTCAAGCATAAAATTTTAGAGAAAATGTATCTAATAAGCGAGCATCACTTTCAAGTGGCTGGCGTCAGCCTCAAAACTCATAGAGGAGATTATTAAACCGGCAAGAAGTGGTGCAATGAGAGTGAGAGCGTAAAGATCAACAATAACAGATACAATAAAACGATAGCAACGCGATCAGATAATAAATGCAAAGCGAATGACGTGATGACTGCTATGCCGCACAGCATGAGCGTATGACTTTGAAAAAGTTTAATATTTTGTTGTATACAAAAAAGTCTACTAAACATAATATCTCATAAAATTGTATGTATATACATATGTATAAATTATTTATAACGTCTGATCGCAACTAAAAATTACCATAAAATACATACCTGCAAGCTCCTTCATGCAAGAGTGCTTACAAAAGCTTTGCGCTAATTTATCCACAGACAAACAGAGAGCAAACGCTCAATAGTGTATTGGAGCCTGCGCGAGAGCAACCAAGAGGCTAGAGCCAAGAGCCAGCGCCCTGATCACTGAAGCATTGTGAGCAACCACGATTGTCAGTCCCTCTATATTCGCTGTACGCCACCCCTGGGTATATGTGCGTGTGTGTGTGTTGCGGTGTCTACTCACTGCGTGGAGGCGAGTTCAGGCAATTTGCACAGTCAGTCAGTCATACGGACCCAGTTCGAACGTTAGGACGTGAAAATATTGAGCACGCGCGCGCTAAAAGCCAAACGCCAATTTCAAAGTGATCTGGCCAAGTGTAGTGAGTCAGTGTATGTGTGTGTTTGTGCGTGTGGAAAAAGTGAGAAAAATTACCGGATTAGTAAATATCTGGTTTTTTTCTTCTTTCTATTTGCTGGTGCCTTAAGTGCATTTCGCAGCCAAATGCAGTGAGCTTCATGTTGGTATTTTGAATGATCGCTTTTTTTGGTTGTTGATTTTCGCAATACATTTACGAGCGTGGCATTCAAAGTGATGCAGAGTTTTTGTGTTGGAAACTGAATTTGTTTAAAAATAAATTACGAATATATTTGAAAGAAATAAATTAATGTGCTACCCATAAAAAGTGGTTAACTTGGGTTGACATATAAAAAAATATGTGTATTTAAATAAACATAGTTACATCCAAACAAATATTGAAAAAAATACAAATTAGTTTGAGGGTCAAATGGCAAATATTGAAAAAAAATGCAATATTGCCTCAACAGAGTTGCAATTTTTTAGTAATATTTTTTTTTAACTGCAGCCAAGCACAACAATTGCAACGACAAAAAATATCAATTTTATTGCTGTAATATGTTTTATATACGCGCAGCGTTGCAGAAATGAGGAATTACCGTCAAAAAACTATGACGAACAGCACTTACAAGCATCAAATCATGTTACCTCTAGCGATCTTCCCAGTGGCGTAGAGTGTAAGGTTGGGTTAGGTAGTTGACCCGGATATATGTATATTTTGAATGGTGGCAATATACAATAATATATTCAAGACGGATGCTACAAAGGAGATATAATCAAGACTTATTTACTAATCAAAAATAAATCCCTGTTTGTTTAATGACAGGGAATATTTCGTCTTGTCCTTGCTCACTGCCATACTCATTCGCTTCGCTTTCTTGTCAAGCTTGGAGAAGGTAGTTCCAAGGACGGGATTGTTAAGGCCGACGATATCAATGACATGGAGACAGCCAAGTCATACTTAGTACAGAAAAGCATATAATAATCGTGCCCCGGCGAAGTCGATCAGCCTTCTTTGTCCACCCTCATAGTCGCCAAGCACAATTTTGATTCCATGGCGGATGCAGCTGCCATAAGTATATTCCAGTCGCTCATAAAATATATATTTTACAACAGACTTTTCTATTGTGCATAGACGTCAGAAAGACACTAGTGAAGTCTCAAACGCAGTATGCCAGAGTGGCTCCACTAAAGCTCCCTCACATTTAGCCGTGAACGAAGACTCTACACGAGTGGATTACGGAATCTCGTTTGAGAGTTGTGCTGCAAAGACGCAAAAGTAGGAATTGGAAATAATCATTGTCTGTAGCCGCACACCCAAAAACAAGACGAGGCTACAGGGGTGGATCAACTGCTCCGAAAAAGTCATTCCGTAAATTAATTCCAATTGAGCAATTCAAGCTGGTATTAATGTTCCACTACGCTTTTCACTCCAAAGAGTTATTTCTCGATCATAATGGCTCTACACGCCCACTCAAAAGTCCAGCTCTCACTTAAATCAATGTTCTGATAAATAAAGGGTATACCAATTAGAGGTGTTTATTTGATATTTGAAGAAAAAATGACATTCTACATAACTGATCGGATGTTTATTTCAGTGTAAAGAATAAGATATGCCATTTATAATGGAAAACAGAATCAGCCAAATGGCCGTCACGACTACGCTTATAGGATCATATCCTTTTTATGAAATTTTTCTTTACCAAATCGCTGCTGTATGTCCTCAATAGCTTAACGAATTCCATCTTTGAGGTCTTGAATCGACGCTGGCTTGTTGGTGTAGACCTAATCTTTCACTTGGCGTCACAGGAAGAAGTTGCAAGGTGTTAAATCAACTCTTCGAGATATACGGAAACCTTTCTGTGAAATGGTGGATGCCGT